ATAAATTCATTATATGAAAAAAAAAAAAAACACTTCACAAAAGGTTTCAAGATATATTTTGTTTTTTTAACCAATTATTTTGTAAAAAGCATTTATTTCAATAAAAATATATGATAAAATAGTACTAAACAATATGTTGTTCCGAGTGAGGCGCAACGAAATCGACCTTGAAGTTAAATATTGATCAGCCCCGATTTTTCAACAAATATTACGCGGAGGTCCAAAATTTAAACTATCGTAATTCAGAAAATACTGAGAGTTAGAAGACCAGTAAAGGCTTGTTGAAAAGGAAATTTTCTTCACTTTTACCAGCTGTATTTTGTTTTCCCTATTTCAATATAGAAAAAGAAGTAAAAATGAGCTTTGTTTAAATATTATGAAAAAAACCAGAAAAATCACAAACATGGAAGAAAATGCTTGTTTTTACAAAATATTTTAAAGTGAAAACAACAATTTTTACATATTTTAAAAGCAGAGAAAATATGCTTTTTAAATATATCAAACTTTCTTTATGCAATTAATCAGGAAAAAGTATGCCAATCGTCGGGAAAATCGTCCTCGCTTTGGAAATTTGCGCCATTTTCAAAAAGTCATGAATGTTTTCAAAACGAAAAATCTATCCATTACCGACGTATAAGCTATAAAATTTTTACAGGGTTTAAAAGTAGAGAAAATTTCCTAAAAGATGATATATAGATTATATACCTTAATGCTATCAGAAAAAAGATACGGAGATCCTGTTTTCGCGAAGTCTTGTTTTAACGCGCTATCGGTCATATTGACCGATGCGGTAGAGAAGGGGTTAAGTCTTAATATGTACTTACTATCTCTTTTATTATTCATTGTTTAGATTTATATATCCTAATGGGTATTTTTGCTAGTGTTTTGACCACTCTATTAGTCACCAGATGTTAAGCAAGTTAGGACACTCACCTTTGCAATGCTTCAAGCAGTTAGACAAGTATCTTTATTGTGCCTGGTGACTATTGTTTATAAATATACATTTCTATCGGAGACCTGAATAAAGAAAATTATGATTTGTACAAGCGTCATATTTTCTAGCACTCCCACACATTCACTGGACTGGAGATTGCAAACCAAAGCGTCCTCTACACAGCAAGCGAGAAAGTAAATTCCCCAAAAATAAGTTTAAAGCGCGACAGGATAACTGGTGGAGGTAATCCAAATCCTGGATGAAAAGGAAGCCAACAGTTGAACAATTCAGCTTGAGATTAGAAGAAATATGCCTACTCCAAACAACAGAGGAGAGTCGACAGAAAACAGTGAAAGTGGAGCCGATAACTCTATTTTGCAGGTGAGCCAATTAGAAAGGGCTGTTCAAGATCGAGAAGAACGTCTGACCCAGCTCAAGCAGGAGCGATAGAAAGAGAGACGCTTCCAAGAAGAAGACAGACAAAGAGGGAACAGACCACTTCAAGAACGAGAAGAAATTAAATATCTAAGAGCTCAAGTACGACGCGTAGGAACCAGTCCAGGTGTACATCAACAAGATATGAGCCATCCAGTACCAACAGGTACCCCGAAGGTAAAACTTGAAAAATTTGATGGGAAAACTTCCATCGTGCAGTGGTGGCTCAAATATATGACATTCAGAAATTATAAAGACTTTCAGAGAACATGGTCATCCATACCCTGCCTTTTTATCTGACTGCAGCAGCCGAGAGTTGTTTTTTTTTTTCATTAGATGAAACCTTAAAGATGTCCGTAGCTTCAGTTAGATAAGCCATTTACGACCGACTTAAGCCATCCTCTCGTCACGATCTAGAGCTCATGGATGTAAAACAAAAAGGCAGTGAGTGTGTAGAGGCCTTCATCCATCGTGTCACCTCTATGACAACAGTGGGTCAGGACTGGCTGATCACAGTGATCATGAATGGGTTGAAGCCAGAACTCAGCGCCAAAGTAATCAAGGTGGACCCTCAGACGTAAGAGCAGCTGAGGAATTTGACAGACAGAGCTAAAGAAGCTGAGCAACGCCGGTTGACCACCCCGGTGATGCAGTAGTCTACTAATATTGCACTTCTTCATGCTTTGTAGGAAATCAAAGATGACGTCAGAGCCAGCAAGAAATACATATAACACGAACGGAATGCTTCTTACCTACAGTCAACGCCTGCTAGACGAGGGTTCAATCAATCACCACAATGGGGATTCCAGTCTCCGCAGCAGGGTTTTCAAAAACCATCAACGCCCAGCTACCAGCCCTCTCTGCCTCAGAACTACCAGCAGCCTCAGCAAGGTCACAGACAACAGGGGCCACGTGACAACTACAGCTCCAAAGGCCATGGCCAGCGGAATAGACCAGGGTTCCAAAATCCGCGCTACACCCACAATTGTGAGTTTGGCGATTCTTTTCAAAGCCTCTCATTTGATAGATGTTATTTTTGTAATCAAGTGAGGATTTTAAAAGATATCTTATTATTGTAACTATATCTCTGAAGTATACATAATGAACTAATTGTTTCTAAGCAAACAAATAATGGAATAACAGGATTAAAAGTGACAATCCGTGTTCTGAGAGCATATTTATGGGGTTTATGGTACCACTGCATGTATTGCTACAGTGAGTCTACATGAAATCATTTTTCAGGATTTCCATAGCCTTTAACTTTGGCTGGTTTAGGTTCCGCTTAATAGGCAGGTACACAATCTAGGCGTCATTAGAAAGGGAAAACTCAATAGAAGTCAGAGAAAAGGAAGGAGAAATGGAGAGAAACAAAGCCCCATAAAAGAAAAAAGAAGCCTTTCGCGCATACTTTAAAAGTTTCTTAATCTAACCCCTGCGCCGTGATCTTAGGCACTATAGGATCGATCCTGATCTTTACTCTGTAGCACATTAAACATAAATTTTCTAAATATGGATAATTTATCAATTCAGTGATTTATATTATATTTTTTTTTATCATTTTTTTTTTCTCAGACGAGTCCCTTCGGATGAACATTCTTAAAAGTCTCCGGCCCGACAAAAGGATATATTAACATAATATTTTATAAATGTTTGATAATCGTCATAATTTGTTTTTGTATTCAGCTAGAAACACTCAATTCAACACATATCTGACTCCAGATTGCCTAATTTGATCATTTTTTTTAATTGTTCACAACATGCAATTTGCCTTAAGAGTTATTTTGGATAGAGCCTCAATGATTTGAACTATATTTTTAAGCCATACTTACATAAAATAGCTTATGGGTCGAAAACTATGGAAATCTATAGCTGCCTTATGTCAAATGATTTTATTATATGCTGTGGTTCTATTATTATATGCTGTGGGTTCATAATTATATACCGTGGGTTTATTGTTATATGCTGTGGTTTCATAATTATATGCTGTGGGTCTATTTTTATTCTATAATGGTAGTTGTTGTAGAGTGTTTTGCAACAAATTATGCTTAATCAGGGGGCCCATTTTAGATTTTCCATATTTATTGTTAACTTGATTTTATCAATAGACCTCCTATATTTTTATGCTTACTATTCGCAATGCTAGAATCCGATTTGAATAAGTCCTTGCATGTTTGGTCTGCTTTTAATATATTCCAATACTTTAAAATACATTTTTTTTTAATCCTTTGACGCGAGGGTTAAATTTTTAGAAATCTCAGACACGAAAATGTACGAAATTACATGTGCCATGGCCGAAGGAACGGGGGGGGGGGGGTATCCCCCCATATTTTTGCCGATATATAAAATACTTTAGAAAACATAGCTACTATATGCTTGTGCCCCCTTAATATTTTTAGTAGTTGATAGTGCCCCTCCAACTGAAAATGTATATATGTAACCCCCCCCCCCCCGAAATAATTGCTTCCTATGGGCCTGATTACTCAGTATATCGAATCTTAATTTCAACATGTCAACAAAATTCTGTTTCAGGGCAGATTTAGGGAATATAGATTCATTATTTCCAATGGAGTAAAGGAAGAAATTCAGGAGTATTTTGACATCCTTTTCAATTGTCAGAAACACCTAAAATTCACATCTGAAATATTTCACTCATCCATGCATTTTCTCTGGACACAACGGTTTACAAAGGGAACAGATTTAGTCATTGTCAGAAACTTGATATCAAATATTACATCAAACCAACTCGTTTATTGAAAACAAAGAATCTGCCGCCATTTCGTTTAAGGGACATTTATAATAAGAACCACTGCATATAATTTAAGAATACCACAGCATATAATTATATGAAACCACAACATATAATTATGAAACCACGGCATGTAATTATGAACTCACAGCATATAATTAAAAACCCACATTATGTAATTATGAACCAACATCAATAATAGAAACAGAGCATATAATAACAGACCCACAGCATATAATTATAAACCCAAAGTATTTAATAATAGACCCACAGCATATAATTATAAACCCACAGGATATAATTATAAACCCACAGCATATAATTATGAAACCACAGCATATAATAAAAGACCCCCAGCATATAATAAAACACCTAACATAGGGCAGCCATAGCGTTCCATAGAAAACACTCATTTTTCCATAGTAAAATACCGGTTGACTTACATATAAACATTAGTCAAAATATTTACACTGGGTTTTATAATGGTATTGAATCTAATTTATTCCAATTGTACATTTAGCAATGTGATGTGATAATCTCCACGTCTAGAATCAGCAACTTGTAATGGCTTTCTAATATCTTTTTTTTAAATTTAAACATTCACATTAAGATTCATTTTTGACAATCTCTTTAATACTTTTAGTTCATTTAATATATCAAGAATTAAATTGATTTAAATAAAATTCTCCAATTTCCGGACTCAGAACGTTTTTGTGTAATTTTTTTCTGCAGCATTTAAGATGACCAATAATAACTTTCAAACAATATTTACATGTCTGTACCTTATAGCACAAAAATAACATGATATATCTCCCTCAAAATCAATAAAATACACAAATTATATCTTTATTAAATTCATGATAGCAATTTAAGAGGACGTCCATGTAACACACAAACAATGACAAAATATTTAAGAATGTATGTCAATCTAGATAATTCAATGTTAACATGAAGAACACATACTATATTCATTGCTGTAGAATCATTATAATTTTGCAATTTATTATTTTGTAATATTCATTGAATTGCAACGTATATGTCGTCTCAAACACTGGACTTGCAACAATTCCAACCTCCACAGATAGCCGCTGAAATAGGATCATTGTACTCATGCGAAAAACACTCTTCTCTACACCATCCATCTTTGAACCAGTTTCCACAATTGTGATTTCGACTATCTGCGGGGAAAAATCCAAGCGCATGAGAACAAATAGTATCTGAAGTTTATTTTTTGAAATGAAGGCAAGTAATTGTAAGCCTTAAATCATTCTTGATACTTAAAGCTATATAGGGCGTATCTGAGCTTAAAATTTAAAAAAAAAAAGATTGAGTGTAGATAAACATGATATATGTTATTTACGTTGAAATTAAAATTTTCACCGATTTTGAACTTGAATAACCTCATGTTTCTATAGTTATATTGACTTTAAATGGGGCTGTTATTTAAATGCGGAGTCGGTGAATAAATCGGCTATTGTTATAAGTTTCTAATATCTTTGAAACGTACATGTAATTGATTCAAATTGAGTAATTTACAGGAAGGTCCTATCTTTATATAAAGTAATAAAACAAATAGAAAGATCTTTTTAATTTTAGTTAGTCTGAAATTATCAAAAAATACGTTACATATGACTTTAACATGATGTTAGGTTTTATGCATATTTGTTGAGTAAAATATTGCAGGTAATAGATCATAAATCAAACTGAGTTTTAAAAAATACATTTGTGACCAAATAAATAGAATAAAATTGTAATAAATAATATTTTTGAAGATTTGACCTTGATTCTTTTTGGGCCTTTAAAAAGCACTATTTAAATAATTATTTTTTAAACCTTCCATTTAAAATGTGTTTTCAATGTACATGTCTTTACATTGAAAGTTTCGTGATACACTGTAGCTTTTGAAATTCTAGATGCTAATTATAAACTTAGGTATTTCTACATACGAATATCGTCAGAAAATAGACATATTAATAAAAACCAGTAGTGACCAATCAAAATACTGTGAGTGTGTTTTTTTTTTTTTTTTTTTTTTTTGATTCACATAGGATGGCAAAAACACAAAAAAATGAAGAATAAAAAAACCCGGTGAAACTATTCATGAAAGTCAACAAACAGATAGAGCAATCAGAGGCACAATTGTTGTATGTCTTGTGTATTTAAATGGGGAAAAATGCAAACATTTGAATCAGTATGTCTTTCACGGCTGCGTTGCATCTTGACATTCTGTCGTTGTAATTTTAAATTGATTCAAAATAACCACGTGACAAGAAGTTGTTGTAATTACTGCCAGCCTGTAACGTTAAATCTTACAATATGACAATTATTTGCCCTCGTTGTTGCCAGCTGCAGAATACTTGTATTGTGCAAAAAATACCTAGGGTCATTTTTTTTTTCAATAAAAAGTGGTCTTAAGCCGTCGAATTTGAACTAATAGTTTAAAAATGATTTTTTTTCTTTCTAATATTCATGTTTAGGTAAAAAGGGATTCTAAATGTTTTGTAACCTTATGTAGATGTTATGTAGATGTATATTATTAACACGTGGCCTAGAACAATTAAAAAATTAAGGTAAAAAATACAAGATTTCAGGTTGTTTTTTTTTTTTTTTTTTTTTTTTTTTTTTTTTTTTTTTTTATCTGTTATTATATGGAAAACAAAAATTAGATGTATACATTGAAATTCTTTGAAGTTTTAAAATTGTTCTTGAAAATTCATTGACTGTAAATTCATTGATAGTAACTTATTTGAGCATTGTTTTAAATTTTTAAAAAAATCCAAGAAGAGTGAATACATGAAATTGAGCGCAGATTCTTTTTTTATTTAAAGCGCGTTTCAACGGTGTTTCGTAAAAAATACAAAAATAATAAGAACATTTAAAACATGCTTTCTTCTCCAAACCATCAAAAATATCATCCTGCTTACATCACATTCTAAATCTTGTCAACTTCAGTTATAAATAAAAATGTCATATTTAAAAAAAATATGACTTTTTTCTTGAAGACGTTGCGCACGGTGTTGGTACTATAATATCTGACACTTTATATGTCGCAAAGAAGCTGGCGTTTTCAAGATGATATATCGGGCTTTATGGAATTTGATTCGAGACCAACCCGTATTTATATCCCGATAGATGTTTTTAAATGATACCTATTACTTATATTTACATTTGTGACTTATTCATATTTTATATTTGCCTGACTGTAATCTTTAACAAGTGAAATGTTTTATTTCTCAAACTCAACGGCACGAGTTTGATCTATTGATTGCGCGTCAACCCTTTATGACGTCACTAAGAAATTACGTCGAACATTTATGACATGAGGAACCCGTGTTTATACGGATATGGATACACGTTCTTTTCAATAGTGTTATATAAAAGAAAACATTTGCAAATATAAATATTAGAAATTAGAATTGAATTAATTATATTATCCATGGTAATAAATTATTCTAAAAATTTTCTTTTTAATAGCTATTCTCTGTACATGTAACCACTTAAACTTCTTTGCTACAGCAAGGTCACCGATTTTAATGAAACTTAGCCCATTATTACAACTTGACACCAGAAACATATATCAAATAAAATTTGGTTGCTATGTGTCTTGGTTGCCATGGTAAAAGTCGAAAAGTTTGAAAAAAATGATAATTTCAGCTACTTTGAATCTTTATGAACCCTTAATAAAGACTAAGAAAAAAAAACCCAAACCATTCTCACAAAAATATGACACCTTGTTGCCACTTATGCTATAAAGAAACTATTTAAAATATATCTCTAAGTAAGTGGTAACCGCGGGTACATCTGGAATACATTTTAAATACTGAAAATTCTGAAAAACGCCAAATATGCACTAATGATAGGTGTTACATGATCAAACTCAATCAACAACTTAAAAAAACCCATAAAGATATTTGACCTTAAGTAATTAGGTACTAGCAATATTATTCTAAAAATGACTTTCATGGTTGCCATGTAACACAGTGTAACCAGGCAAAATCTGTTGCTAAGATTGGTTAATGCTACTATCTTGAGAGAAGAAATGAAAATTCAAAACTGGTAAATATACATCCTTAGGATCTTGCAACAATGACGTAAGTAAAATTAGGATTAAATGCTACTTTGCATTGTAACCATGGAAACAAGCTACCAGTGGTTTAAAGTGATATTTCTTTGCTGCTTTAGGAATTTACTTACCTTTTAATCGAGAATCATATTATTTGACTCACCTTGAATAGTACTTATCAGGTAGAACTAAAGTTGAAAATCATATATTGATAAAATTTGATGAAGAAAACAACACTGTTGCTATGGTTACCAAGAAGGGAAAATGTTAGATTTTGTTAACTTTATATCAATATGAAACCTTATGTGCCAGTTTCTTGCAACCTGTAAAATATTCGGTGGTAATCAAAACTGAGAGTCAGGTTAGTTGTTCATAAACATCAATTAAAAAAAATTTTGGGATTCTACATACAAGGGTACGTATCCGAGGAAACAAAATATTTATCAGATTTTTATGCATATTTTTTTCCTGCTAATTTCCATAGCAACGCTCTATTTGAAGAATTTTAATTTGAAGTTTTTAGAAATTAGAAAGTTAAGACTACACTAACGCCTTTTAAAATTGATCGCCAGTTACACAGGTAAAATTGCAACGTATGTTCGACATATGTTTCGAGTAACAAATGTTGAACATACATTGAACATATGTTGACCATATGAATTTTCGACATTATGTTAAACATATGTTTAAAAAAATATGTTGAAGATATGTTAAAAATATATGTTGAACATATAGCAGACTCAAAACATATATTATATACAACAGAAGATTCAAACATTGAATTTTTATGCCCTTTTTCTAGCTCACCTGAGCCAAAGGCTCAAGTGAGCTTTTCTGATTAAAATTTGTCCGTTGTCTGTCGTCGTCGTCGGCGTCGTCAGCGTCGTTGTTATCGTAAACTTTTCACATTTTCATCTTCTTCTCCAGAACTACTGGGCCGATTTCAATCAAACTTGGCACAAAGTATCCTTGGGTGAAGGGGTTTCAAGTTTGTTCAAATGAAGGGCCACGCCCTCCTCCAAGGGGAGATTATTACGAAATAGCAAAAAATTAATAGCATTATTGAAAAATCTTCTTCTCAAGAACCAGTGGGCCAGGAAAGATGAAACTCACGTGGAATTATTGTCAGGTAGTGTAGATTCAAGTTTGTTCAAATCATGACCCCCGGGGGTAGGGTGGGGCCACATTGGACGATCAAAGTTTTACATAGGAATATATAGGAAAAATCGTCAAAAATCTTCTTCTCAAGAACAGCAAAGCTTTGATTGGTCATATTTATATGGAAGCATCCTCAGGTGGTGTAGATTCAGTTTTGTTCAAATCAAGACCCCCGTGGGTAGGGTGGTGCCAAAATAAACGATCAATGTTTAACATAGGTGTACATAGAAAAAATCTTCAAAAACTTTTTTTCTCAAGAACAGCAAAGCTATGATTGGTCATATTTATTTGGAAGCATCCTCAGGTGGTGTAGATTCAAGTTTGTACAAATCATGACCCCCGGGGGTAGGATGGGGCCACATTAGACGATCAAAGTTTTACATAGGAATATATAGGAAAAATCGTCAAAAATCTTCTTCTCAAGAACAGCAGAGCTATGATTGGTCATATGTATATGGAAGCATCCTCAGGTGGTGTAGATTCAAGTTTGTACAAATCATGACCCCCGGGGGTAGGGTGGGACCACATTGGACGATCAAAGTTTTACATAGGAATATATAGGAAAAATCTTCAAAAATCTTCTCAAGAACAGCAAAGCTATGATTGGTCATATTTATATGGAAGCATCCTCAGGTGGTGTAGATTCAAGTTTGTACAAATCATGACCCCGGGGGTAGAATAGGGCCACATTGGACGATCAAAGTTTTACATAGGAATATATAGGAAAAATCGTCAAAAATCTTCTTCTCAAGAACAGCAAAGCTATGATTGGTCATATTTTTATGGAAGCATCCTCAGGTGGTGTAGATTCAAGTTTGTACAAATCATGACCCCCGGGGGTAGGGTGGGGCCACATTGGACGATCAAAGTTTTACATAGGAATATATAGGAAAAATCTTCAAAAATCTTCTCAAGAACAGCAAAGCTATGATTGGTCATATTTATATGGAAGCATCCTCAGGTGGTGTAGATTCAAGTTTGTACAAATCATGACCCCGGGGGTAGAATAGGGCCACATTGGACGATCAAAGTTTTACATAGGAATATATAGGAAAAATCGTCAAAAATCTTCTTCTCAAGAACAGCAGAGCTATGATTGGTCATATTTATATGGAAGCATCCTCAGGTGGTGTAGATTCAAGTTTGTACAAATCATGACCCCCGGGGGTAGGGTGGGGCCACATTGGACGATCAAAGTTTTACATAGGAATATATAGGAAAAATCGTCAAAAATCTTCTTCTCAAGAACAGCAAAGCTAGGATTGGTCATATTTATATGGAAGCATCCTCAGGTGGTGTAGATTCAAGTTTGTACAAATCATGACCCCCGGGGGTAGGGTGGGGCCACATTGGACGATCAAAGTTTTACATAGGAATATATAGGAAAAATCTTCAAAAATCTTCTCAAGAACAGCAAAGCTATGATTGGTCATATTTATATGGAAGCATCCTCAGGTGGTGTAGATTTAAGTTTGTACAAATCATGACCCCCGTGGGTAGGGTGGGGCCACATTGGACGATCAAAGTTTTACATAGGAATATATAGGAAAAATCTTCAAAAATCTTCTTCTCAAGAACAGCAAAGCTTTGATTGGTCATATTTATATGGAAGCATCCTCAGGTGTTGTAGATTCAGTTTTGTTCAAATCATGACCCCCGGGGGTAGGGTGGTGCCAAAATAAACGATCAATGTTTAACATAGGTGTACAAAGGAAAAATCTTAAAAAATCTTTTTCTCAAGAACAGCAAAGCTATGATTGGTCATATTTATTTGGAAGCATCCTCAGGTGGTGTAGATCCAAGTTTGTACAAATCATGACCCCCGGGAGTAGGGTGGTGCCAAAATTGACGATCAATGTTTAGCATAGGTGTACATAGGAAAAATCTTCAAAATCTTCTTCTCAAGAACAGCAAAGCTATGATTGGTCATACTTATTTGGAAGCATCCTCAGGTGGTGTAGATCCAAGTTTGTACAAATCATGACCCCCGGGGGTAGGGTGGGGCCACATTGGACGATCAAAGTTTTACATAGGAATATATAGGAAAAATCTTCAAAAATCTTCTCAAGAGCAGCAAAGCTATGATTGGTCATATTTATATGGAAGCATCCTAAGGTGGTGTAGATTCAAGTTTGTTCAAATCATGACCTCCAGGGGTAGGGTGGGGCCACAATGGACGATCAAAGTTTTACATAGGAATATATAGGAAAAATCTTCAAAAATCTTCTTCTCAAGAACAGCAAAGCTATGATTGGTCATATTTATATGGAAGCATCCTCAGGTGGTGTAGATTCTAGTTTGTTCAAATTATGACCCCCTGGGGGTAGGGTGGGGCCACAATGGACGATCAGAGTTTTACATAGGAATATATAGGAAAAATCTTTAAAAATCTCAAGAGCAGCAAAGCCACGGTTTGTCATATTTATACGGAAGCATCCTCAGATAGTGTAGATTCAAGTTTGTTCAAATCATGACCCCGCCCCCCCCCCCCCTACCTTTTTAGGGGTAGGTTGGGACGACTTATGCATTTAAGCTTTTCAATACTAAACTGATTTTTCCTTTTTTCCTAGCCACAGTGCTCAGGTGAGCGATGTGGCCCTTGGGCCTCTTGTTAAAATATTTATTTTGATATATTAAATAAAAATAAAATACATGGTTAGCATCTAAAATATGTAATTATAAGTTTAAAACGTTAAAACAACATTATGACTTTAATAACGTTATTTTGACGTAACGTCAATGTGTACCAACACCGTGTGCAACGTCGGACTCTTTCTATAGGAAAAACTTTGAAATGGACACTAAGATTTTTGCGGCCGATTTGATACTTTGCTTCATTCCTGATTTGTACGTACCTAAAATAAGATCATCTGTAGTCGTCACTGTAAAAGAGATACAAAATACATAAATAATATATAATTTTAAGTTTTGTTGTATGTGGATGTATAAACTATAGTAAGACTTAGTTATTAAAATTTGATTTATATTTCAATAGTTTATATGATAGCAAAAACTTTTTCATGTTAATTAACAATGATCTGAATTTGTGGAAAAAAAAATAAATAAAAAAATAAAAATACATCTTCCAATTAACTGTATGTCGTGCAACTTCTGCGATTCCATAAATTGCTACTAGCGCTAGGAAGAGAGGAGCATTCACAGACATTCCAGCAAAAGACGCCAGAGGTAAGAGGGCTTGGGCCTGACGTTTATTTCTTGACTGCTCTTTCTTTATCCTTGCATTGGCGAAGATGGAAGCAGGAGCAACCAATAGGATAAAGTAAAGGATACACAGGAAGGCTTTCCTTTCCATGATGCTCTCTTTTCAAATAAAATGAAGAAGCTCAAATAAATAATAAAGATAAAATCAAACACAAATGCAGTGCCCTTGTAGTTTTCATAGTTAATCGTGAATCGAGCATCACTTTTCCGTCAAGTCAAAACGATGTAAAAGGCAGAGTGATACCTTGATTGTTAGTATGAAAGCGTGACTTAACGTAATCTTTCGTGTTTATCATTCTTGAAGATTAAGCACGAATATTGTTTCATTTTCAAAAGAAATCTTATAACGTTATCTTTTGTTTCCCAGTAATTCGAAAAACAGTCCAATTTTAAAAGAATGGATTTTTTCCGACAGAATGGACAAATGTCTTTTTATACTAAATGGATACAGTCAATGGGCAAAAGTATTCGTCATTTTACGCATATCTCGGCTATTTTTCACTCGCGCTATTTATAGAACGAAGGAAACAAGAGGCCCAATGGCCACATCGCTCATCTGAGCACTATGGCTACGAAAAAAAAAAGAAAAATCAGTTTAATATTGAAAAGCTTACAGGCATAATTAAGTGGTCCCTACCTACCTCTAAAGGGTGGAGGGGGGTATGATTTGAACAAAATTGAATCTACGCTAACTAAAGATGCTTACAAATTTCCTTGACTAACCGTGGCTTCTTTTCCTACAAGTTTAACCTTTCATTGTGGCCCCACCCTACCCCTAGGGATCATGAATTGAACAAACTTGAATCTACACCACCTGAGGATGCTTCCATATAAATATGACCAATCATGGCTTTGCTGTTCTTGAGAAGAAGATTTTTGAAGATTTTTTCCTATATACTCCTATGTTAAACTTTGATCGCCCACTGTGGCCCCACCCTACCCCCGGGGGTCATGATTTGAACAAAATTTGAATCTACACCACCTGAGGATGCTTTCACATAAATATGACCAATCATGGCTTTGTTGTTTTTGAGAAGAAGATTTTTATAGATTTTCCTATATATTCCTATTTAAAACTTGATCGTCCATTGTGGCCCCATTCTACCCTCAGGGGTCCGCAGCTAGGTTAAGGACGCCCATGAAATATACGCCTTAATATATTCAGAGAAAATGAATACAATTTTAATTTTTTTTTAACAGCATTAGTTTTGATGAATGTGAATTGTGGTGTTTGCACTTGTATATATCGGGTCTCTGCTGAGTTCGGCCAAAGCGATATCGCTTACATCATCTGTTTGTCACGTGACAGATTTAAAATTAGAACATATATGTACTACTAAAAAGATCGCAAACGTTCAAGGATATACAGGTATCTTTCCGCTATAAAATTTATTCTTTTTTGTTTAAGAAAAGTTTCTTAACATGAAAAGTGCTGGGAGCAACTTTCTCATGCTCGGGAATTGTGAAAAATTTAGCCGTCTTTCTATAAACTCCAGACATAGATGTAATACGCACTGGAATAATGTTACATTAAAGAATAAATAAACAATGCACAACCAGCTCCCAGCACTTTTCAGAATAGTAGGAATAATAGCTTCACTTCTTTAAAAATTCAGAATTTATAGTGAAGCGCATATCGTTGAACTTTTGATATTTTCGAGGGTCCGGACCCCGCATACTAGCACGTTACTGTTCAAATGTGCTCCCTACGGCTATATACAAAGTCTACACATTATCAATTAGTTTGACAATAAAATGTGGATTAATGTATTTTAGAATATGTGTCCATTTTGGTCCAATTAAGCTTGTTTTGTGTTCATTTTTATTTTTACAAGCTACGATAATAGCTTGATCCACGCCTCAAGTACAGAGAAACTGTGTGTCAAAGTAAGAAATGACGTCATCTCAGTAAGTACAGCGAGATCAAGCTGGCTTTTATTCTACATACGCTAAGTGCTATTTTTGGCAAGATAATTTGCACATCCATTTATCTTTATAATATTTATGAGAAACGAAGGTATTTGAGTGTGTTTTAAAAAGGGCATATAGTATTTATTCATCGAGATTCATTTGTACTCTTTTAACGTGACGTCATAATAGCTTTCCCGATCCTCTGCACAGGCTGACGTAGATATGGGAGTCCTTAACCTAGCTGCGTCATTATTTGAACAAACTTGAATCTACACTACCTGACGATGATTCCACATGAGTTTCATCTTTCCTGGCCCATTAGTTCTTGAGAAGAAGATTTTCAAAAGATGCCATTAATTTTTCACTATTTTGTAATTATCTCCCCTTGGAAGAAGGCATGGCCCTTCATTTGAACAAATTTGAATTCCCTTCACCCAAGAATACTCCAAAATTTGGTTGAAATTGGTGCAGTGGCTATGGAGAAGAAGATGAATTGTGAAAAGTTAACGACGGCGCCGACGACAACGACAACGACGACAGACAACGGACAAATTTTGATCAGAAAAGCTCACTTGAGCCTTCGGCTCAGGTGAGCTTATAAAATGAAACTTTCAATAGAGAGACTAGAGAAATTACGTCACGATTCTGTGACGTCGATCTGTCATTTGTGTGTCTGTAAACACTGAAAAAACACCGCTTGAAAACATGAGGCAAAAATCGGCAGCGTTTAGCACCAACGTAAAGGAAATGAGTTTAAAATCTGCACCATACCTTAATTAAATCAGAACTGGCGAGGATGTTGGGTATATCTAGGTCAACAATTGTGGGTATTGTGGATAAATTTAACAGACTGGGTACTGTCGAAAACTTGCCGAGATCTGGTCGTCGACTTTTGTCTACAACTCGGAACAAGACGAAATTTAGCAAACGGAAGAGATACTTTGACTCACTTGACAAACAAATTAAACGAAGGAAGAAGACAATTTAGTGAAAAGAAAGTGTTTAGAAAATTACGTGAAGAAGGGTACAAAACGAAGCGTACAAGAAAAACTATGGTTGTTTGACGTGAGAACAGAAAAAGCGGGTAAAATGGTGTCAAGAACGAAAATATTAGAAGTGTGATCAAGAGTGGAAAAAATACATATTTTTCGATGAGAGTCAAATTGTTATCGGGACAGATAATCTTGTATATGTATGGAGAAAGGACGCCGAAGCTAACAGTCCCCACTTGGTTTGTTCTCCATCAAAGTGGAGGATATCACTAATGATCTGGAGATGCATGTGTTTTGATGGTATGGAACTATTGTACCTGTCGAAGGTAATATAAATGCACTCAAATACTTGGAAATAGTTGATAATAATTTGTGGTCTGTAATTACCAGACATTTTCCGAACAAAGGTTATGTTTATCAAGACGATAATGCCCCGGTACATAGGGTCCTCGTAGTGAAAAACTACATGACAGAATATAATATTAACCCCACAGACTGGTCAGCTCAGTCTCCATATTTAAATGTTTTTGAAAAAAAAAATTGGTTAAAGAGCTCAAAGGAGTGTCTGCAACTATTGCGAGTCGCGATCAGCTGTTTGAGGCAATTAGACAAGTGTCCGTAACCTCTACGCATCCATTCTAGACCGGATTAAAGAAGCAATCCGTATGAAGGGAAATCTGACCAAATATTAGGTAAGTGAATTCAATTTTAAGTATACAAATTTCCGTTTAAACCGTCCGTTGTGAACGTAAACAACGCGACGCCATTTTGATAATGACGAATACTTTTGTCCATTGACTGTGGCTTTGTAAGCTTGCTAATTCAAAGTTGACTCCGGTTCAAGTCATGTAGAAATCAAATTTAAGACAATTGATAATCTGGCAAACTGTAGTCCACAGACATTTCCATGTAATCACAATAATAAATTAGTTTGCGATTAAGAGTGAAAGTACAATAATCAAAAAATGGATAAAAGTTACTGTTAGTACAATTAATTTTGATTATAGTTTTAATTGTTCTACTGGGAGACTCGCCAGTATAAAGTGGGATGTCCATGCTAAAGACGTTTTCTTCTCTAAAGTATAATATATTTTACTGACGAATTATTACTTGAACATTCGGTATTAATTTTTATTGCATTATGGTATCATAAATCATTTCTCGGTATTGAATTCTATAATTATAAGTAAGAATTTTACATCGAGTATATAATTAACTACAGCTCATTTGAGATGATAAAAAGGATCCAATTGTCCATTCTGTGAGAGAAAGAAGGAAATCTCACGCCCGAGCATGTTAAGGCTACAAAAAGGAGGCGAGTCCCAACTTATACGGGAAATATCTAGTATTGCATCACACAAAAAAAAATCAGTTCTTCACAAATACCATAAAATGAAATAATCTACGATTTTAAACTGTCGGAGAGTTTTAAACAACATAAACTTACTACTGCATGCATGTTTGTTGTTAGTTAATTAACCATGCGTTCATCGCAATGCACTTAAATTGTCAATGTGACGTCATATGGTAAAATTTGACGCAGTTTGTATGAAGTGTGAGGCTGATCAAGTTATAGGCTATAAAGAAAAATGTATTTTTTTTAATTAAATAAAATGTTATTTGCAGATACGTAAGAAGCAATTAACTTGAATGCGACGTCCATTTTGTGATTTTTATTCTTAAACATGTATTTGTATGCAGATTTATTAGAGTGTGCCGTCTTGTAAGCCGGAATTTTTTCTTCCGGTACACTTTGGTTTTTCTTTTTTGTTTACACTTGTTATTTCCGTGCGTGCAGCACGAGATATTTTCTCGTCACTCGTCGCCTTACTCAGTACATGTACAGTCATACTGTTGTTACAGTTTTTTACTCTGCCCACAATGTAAGTATTTCATATATTTTTCTATTTACAGTTACTTGTATTATGCTTATGAATTTTCGGCAATGATTTCTTTATTATTTTCTTCTACAGATGTGAAATTTGACTGTTAATTTTTACCGGGAATTCAGAGTAGCTAAATTTGTCATATGTATTATCCATGTTTGCTGATATTTGCAAAGTGTCTCTATTTATATAATGCTAATTTACATATTTATCTCAGTAATATGTTCTATATATTGTGAATATAGGTATTTTTCAGATTTTTCATAAATTTCTTAACATTGAGCATTGTACATCACATTTATTATTATTATTTTGTCTATTGTAGCTTTTCACCGTACGTATTATGTATCACCACATTATTGAACTATGGTGTTTCAATAAAGATAAAAAACGGTTTAACTAGCTGTAATTTATGGAGGCAGCATAAGAGGGTAATATATAGAAGGGTCTTTATAAATCCATATATTGCAAGGCCATACCCTCAAGTTTTTAAATTTAAAGAAGTATTAAGGTATTTGAAAAGTGTTGCGAAGCTGATTAAATATTGCAAACAGGCCCATAGGAAGCAATTAGCAATTTCACTTTGAGGGGGCACAACCATATATTTTCAGTTGGGGGGCACTATCAACGACCAAAATTCCTTGACAAGCACAAAAAAAAGTCATCAGCCGTTATGTTATTATTGAGGGGGCACAAGTATATAGTAGCTATGTTTTCTATAGTGTTCTATATATCGGCAAAATTATTGGGGGGGGGGCACCCCCCCCTGCCCCCCCCCCCCCGGTTCCTACGGCCATGGCAAATGAATTAATTTTTTCTATATTAATGCAGTTGACCAGCAAAATATTTAATACGCGGTCTAACAATTAAATATAATTTTGGCAATTAGATACTTGAGTCTGTATAGATTCGCACACTTTTCACAAGCTCCAAAGGGTGTTGAAAATATTTATAAATTAAACTTAGAATTTTAACTTGGTCATGTACTTGCAATATTGAAAATTATAGAGGACCTCAATACTGCAGGTATATTCGCTAAAATCACGTGATTGCCACATCACGTGACAAGTTTAGATAGAAAATCTGATCGTCCTCAACATGTAGTTTTTAACCACATTAAATCTGTCCGATAGAAGTAAAGAACAAAAAAAAAAAAAAATCTAATCCTTATATAGAATGTATTTTTTATCTCAAAAAAATAAATAAATAAAAAAAAAATTAAAAAAAATTAAAAAAAAAAAAAAAAAAAAACGCCGATATTTCCCTTGGGCACCTTAACTGTACATTGGCCTTATGTACAGCCTTTCAGAAACTCTCTCACATAACGACAGATTTGGCCTTTCGTCTCAGTTTAATCTAAAATCAATTTCATCGCATGAAAAAGAATACTTGTTTTAAAGATTATTTCCTATAGACGAAGTGTTTTTAACATAATATTTTTCCTGTCAATCATATTTCATATTTTGTCTCCATTTCTTGAAAATAAAAAAACAGGTTATTAAACTTTTCTATAATTAACTCTTGCCTTTAGATTTTCAGAACAAAAAGAATACTTTAAATAGATTATTTATTTACTTATTATTTATATATTTACTTTTCATAATATTATCTTGCCTTTTATTGAATCGTATATTAAAGAGGTTTTATTCTAATTTTTTTTTGCACATATAAGCTATTTTGTTTCCTTTGTTTATATAAATATGCTTACACTATTTAATCAGAATCAAGGCGCAGTGAAGTTAAATGTCAACCATTTCTTTTTATGGATTTATTTTAAGTTGTAGAAAGGAATCCTATGTACGGTACATTATGAAAGTTTTCATGAAAAAAATAGGTATTTTTTACATCAAGCACTTATTAGAAAAAAAATTAACTAGTATATCTGGATGAGTTTTGTAGTTACAGGTATCTGTCCTGGCCTAAGATGCCTGTTTATTATGTTTACTTTTGGCAAAGATATAATCAAATAAAATAATCTTTTAAATGCGAAATAAGCAATACCTACTAATATTGGCTTTTTAAAATATTGATCTGGTTGTAAACCACACTGAGTTTTAAAATGTTATGATTTAATGATGTAGAAAACATGGCTTTAATAGTCTACCTTAATATATTCTGAGTGCAATTTTTTATGATTCACAAAATTAAAAATAAAGTGTCAGAATGACAATCAAAAAAGTCATACAAGTACAGACCACGCAATTTGACATGATTGTGTCAAAATGACAAAAATATATAAAAAAAATATTAGACATTATGGAACCCAGCATCAATATGCATTATATATGTAATGACTATGTGTGAAGAAAGTCCTGCAAAGCCCCAGAGAACAAACTCCTTCAGACCAAATCATGACGTTTAAATCCATAGTTGCTTCTCTCTAACACTTTTGTAATACTTACGGAAAATTTTTCTTGTCTTGGTACATATATGTAGTAAGTTTGAAGTTTGTTGGTTAAAAAAGGGGTAAATATCAAATTTCTGAATTTCTAATAGTCATGGCTATAGATTTGTCTGTTTATCGACGGTTTTTGATAAGCTACAATATAAACATTTTTCACCTAAACGTTTCGAATTGAATAAGGCTAAATGGATTATTGTGCCTGTATAAGGATTAAAGTTACCTTTAGAATGAAGGACACATTGACAGACGTACTGCCATTCATTTCAATATTTGATACCTATTATTACTGAATGTTCTCTTCATAATGTTTTCTTTTTAAAATTAAAGTACGAGGGGTTATCAAATAGTTCGTGGCCTGGCGCTATAAAACCAATACTGTTCAAGATACTTCAATGAAATTTGGAGTGTAAATAAATATACATTTTTCCTACATACCATGCAGATTTTATATTTTAATTTTTTTAAAGTAGTTTACATACAATAACGTAAGCAATGGTTTTTCTAGTCGGCGGAACCTCAAAATATGACAATTTCCTATCTTTAAGTGTATCAAATAAAAAAATGGCTATTTCTTATTCAATTTTCCCGTAATTTTTACAATATGACGTCATACAACTGCGCCGTGATATTTGAAAAGGACAATGTGCATTTGGTTCAAAAATCGGCCTGTGTCGGGGGGGGGGGGGGGGTTCGGGGTGGGAGGGGGTTGGACCGGCCCCCTCCCCCTGGAATTTGCAGAGTTATTAAATGCATATACTAAACCAACTAAAAGTGACCTTGAACCCCATCCCACCTCATTGAAAACGCGGATCTGTGTTAAGTTGGTGTGAAAAGTCATAGGTATGAAGCTTGTTTTATGTCAATGTAAAAGTAGCATAATTTACGATAACGTTGCGCTATTTTGACGTTGCTTTATGCGACGTCATGAACAAAAATAGAACGTGATGTTTTTAAATAAATCCTGTATATATGTATATTAAACTATCGTCCATGTAGAAATTTTGCTTTCCTACTGAAGACCTTGCAAAAGTCCTGTTGTCACTTGATCTATTGAAAGATAACTTCCAATTCAGGAAGTTTAGGGATAAGCTGAAATCTACAGTCAGATTCATTTACATTCAGACTCTCCTTAGACAAGAAGCCATACACTCACCTAGGAGTCCTGTCTTGTGTGAATAGCTTCTATGATCCCCTAGGATTTGAAGCCCGTTTTCATCAGAGATAAATTTCTGCTTAGAAAGTTGACTTTACAATTTACAGATTGGGATCAACATATACTTGAACAATACCAGAAGGAATGGAAACAAAAATTACTGCATCTTGAGAATCTAGAAATCTCTCGTCTTTACCTTCCTGTGCCAACTGAGAGTCTCGTCAGGAAAGATGTCCACATTTTTACAGATGCGTCAGGAGATGCCATTGCCGCAGTTTCCTTCGTTAGAGTGAGGATTAAATGGCAATTTACATCAAGGTTTTGTTCTTGTAGAGGAAAAGTGGCACCTAGAAAAACAGATACCGTTGTGTGCTGCAGTTCTTGGTACTGACATCTCCAAAATCATCAAAGTTCAGTTGGTTTTTGAACCAAAAGAAATACATTTCCATACAGATAGTAAAGTTTACCTTGGCTATATCTACAACAAGACAAGAAGATTTTACACTTACGTTAGCAACAGAATTGAGGAAATTCATAAGGTCTCGTGACCAGAGCAATGGAGTTATGTGTCATCAGAATATAATCCTGTACACCAAGCAACTAAACCCATCTCAGTTGAAAATATGAAACACAGTCCTTGGCTCTTTGGACCTAAACGATGGTTTATTAGAAGTCAAGACCAAGACACACCAGAAATACCCGAAACAGAAGAACTAGTTCCTTTAAATATCATCTCATAGATTCCGAGATTGATAAAGAGATTAGACCAGCTGTGACAGTTAAAAAGCTACACATTGGAGATTCTCTCATGGGAACCAAAATGCTTAACAACTACTCAACATGGAATAATTTGGATTCAGGCATTGCAAAGTTAAAACGTCTCAAGATGTTGGAGTGGAACAGGACCATGCAGAGGATGGAATATTTTCAACAAGGCAAATAATGTTGACCTTTATCTTGAAAAAGAGAAACACATCATCAGAAAGGTACAGAGAGAAGGGTTTTAAACGCCTTCGTTTATGCAAATTATAACGCAAGCCAATTGCTTAATAACATCAAAAAGCCAAAAAAAAAAAAAAAAAAAAAAAAAAAAAAAAAAAAATAGACAGTCATTCCTTACTTACAACTTATTACACAGTTTATGCTATTTCTATAGTTATTAATATTATTATTTATCATATATACAGACCCTGAAACGTGCTACTACTCCACACACACGCTGCACGAACGGTACACGCTCGCTACACGGTTTGCACGAAACGCTACACGGTTTACACGAAACGCTTTGCACGAAAAGTTGCACGGTTTACACGAAAGCCTGCACGAAACGCTTTTTACACGATTCTCGCACGGTTTGGCCTCGATCTGGATTTTCTATTCGGAATCTCTTGGACTTTATTTTAATCATTACGGATTAATCAAAGATTAGTTAAGCATTGCAATCATTCAGATAAAGTTAAGATTAAAACTTGCTACACCAATACTATATTAACAAATAAAATACTCAATGTTCAGTTGTAATTAATACATAGTTGTCAGTGAGTATGTGACCCGCCCGGTGAAATACTTATTATCGTCTGTGTACAAACCTTTTTTCACTAGACTCTAAATTACGCATTGAAAAAAAAATAACATGTTTGTAATTCATAATCTTTCACAGCATTTAATGTTTTTCCAATTATAATTTGATCTTAAATAGTCGTTTTATTACTAACAAATAAACTCAGTTATTGATTTGAAAAAAAAAAAGATTCAATTGCGTATGATTTCTGTAAACGGATTGACTTTCTTTTTCCTTTTTTAATTATTGATTGATTTATGCATTTTTTGATTTATTAAAAAAAATTCATTTGAGAAAATTAGGTTCTGTTTATAATTTGCAAAGGTAATATGTAAACTGCATCTAACAGGAACATTGTGCAGGAAAAGGTGGGGGGGGGGATTACCGAGATCTTACTGTTGTATCTTCTGTACATGACTAAATATAACGGGCACTTGTTTCAGTAAGTATACCATCGGGGGAAAAATATGATAGAAACAAGAGCCCGTTCTAAGAAAAAAAAATATCCATATCCCCAGCGGGACCCGATACATGTAATTCATTAAATGCACTTTATATAAAATGGTAAATAACATGGTAAATATATCGTTTCATTACAGAGTTAAACTTTATTTAATCATTAAAATTTTATATGGTAGAGAAGCCGGGGGATAAGTATTGTAATTATTTAGTTCTCTTTTGAGTCATTGGTTTATCAAATAAACACAATTATATTATACCCACCACCTTCTAAAACTCTTCATTTCAAATCGCGTGTAGACAAAAAAAAAAAATAATAATAAAAAAATTTAAAAAAATAAATAATTAAAAATTAAAAATAATCAATAATTTATGTAATCAATAATCACGGTTCTTAACAATACACATTCAATATATATGTATACATGTCCCATGTCCTAAAAACTAAAAAAGAATATTCTCTAGAACTGCGTGATTAATAAAACAACTAATATACCTGTATGATTATTCAGGATTTATTTTATTTACCAATGCACTGGCAAATTAATTCACTGTTTACAGACAATCGGATAAAGGTTCACTTCTATATAAATAGGGATCTGACCTATAGGGCCGGGCTTGTTTTTTTTTTTTCGCTAGAGAAAGTTTGTCGATTTCCTTTCCGGTAAATGACTTGAGTCTGAATACATGTAACAATTTGTTTTTCATAAATCTTTATTTCAGTAAGAGGAGGTAGGAGGAACACTTTCATTGATGTTCTGAGTTTGTTATCTCGAAATGTAATAATTGATATTTTTCTTTACTTCTAATTGTACATAATGATAACGTCTACTGTCTCTGGAATTCTATTCTTTATGTATAGGCTATTTATTTTACAACACTATTCCGTGAATATAATAAAAACATGCCATTAATGTGTGCAAATTATATAGGCCTAAATGAAATCCAAGGGAGTACAGTTACTGATATATGTGGCCCAATTACTGTTTCAAAACTTAAGATCTTAGAACATTGACTGAAAACAAAAGTACATGTATGTTATTATAAATATATTAATCTCAAATAATTCAAGCAATACGTAACATACTACATGTAACCCAGACAAGCACTAGTAGCACACACGGAATAAAAGCAATGTGATTAAATTCTAAGGAATATATACAATTGAAATTCATCGCAGCTCAGTGCTGTCGAGGATACCTGTATCGAGTAACACAGAGTGAGTTATTCTTGTCATCGGAGAAAGTGTTCCGCCTGAGTGACAACTGTACATTGGATTGTTACGATTTTATCTCTCTGTAGTATTTCTTATATCAATAATGGGAATGTATAAAGGATAGATAATTGAAGGAAAATAAACAAGCCTATAAAAAATTTAAAATAGTCTTTGAAAACGCGAAAATTTAAACTATAAAAGTGTGGCACCAGGTGTATTCGAACCCCCGACTTTAAAAAA